GATTATAGATCTTTGCACATTTTGTTGTAATATTTGGCTTTGTTTTTTTGAGCTAATCTTTGAAATTTTCTGTTCAGCTCTTGTACCTTCTCATTTCTTCCACTTGCTTTAGCATCTCTATGCCAGAGAGCAAGTTTCAGTTGTCTCTTCTGACATCCATTTTGATTTTTTCTTTCTTTCTTGTCTTCTTACTGTCTTTTTGTTTTATTCCTGTATGACGTTCTTGATGTCATGTTTGTGTTCATGTAAGTTAGAAACACTAGTGAAACTCTATTCATTTCATAGCTTCTTTGTAAATCTAAAATAAACTCAAAATAAAGGCAAAAAAGTATTTACAGAAACCTTGAAATTTTCATATTGTAGATAATAGTTTATACACTATAATAAACAGTTCATTAAAAAGGGCCAATATGTAGTACAAATTCACATGAATAAATGCACATATTATAGTATTTCACTTTTCTTCAGTTACAACCTGAACTTGCAGTTAATGGTCTGAGCAATTGTGATTGTGATTACACAGAAATTTCTTTTAAGGTTATTTTATTAGAAGATGACTGCTGAGTTTAGTACCAAATAAGAATTAAACCACTGAACTATATAATACAGTTATACTAAGAAGAACACAATATTTAATCTTACAAAGGTGTTTTATTGAAAATGCAATCAGCATTTTGTTAAAAATAAAAGCAATTCTTAATATTTGCAAAACTAAAGTACATACCAAAGGAAAAAAGATGAGTTACAGGAAGCTGAATAGATCGCGTCTCTTTCTTAAAGAATTCACAGTCTATAACAAACTGAAATACAAAATATTAATTTATTAGGCAAAAATAAAATTACCTTTATAGAGTGAATGTTTGAGTGAAAACAAAAAAATGTATAAACCTCAGCTTTGGAACAAGTATCATCTACTTCTTATTTAGACAAAAAAAGGATATCTACCGTATTTCTGGCTACGACGTTTGTTGTTATTAAGTGCTATTGAGGCTCCAACTCTAAGGAGTGGCTGATGGGTTTGAACTGCTGACCTAGCATTTAGGCGCCCAAAGCTTATCTTACAGTGCCTCACAAAGACTCTGGATAACCATATTTAGATAGTAAGAATTCCTCAATAAGAGATAATTAGGCTGAGAAAACATGGTCAGCAAGTTTTATTTAACTTACTAGATAATTAAAGAATTAACTTATATTAACATATTCATAGAAAAGCTTTTCTATAGTTAGTTTTAATTGTTTGTAGAATATGGACATTGGAGGATGGACCAACATATTAAGGAATAAGAATAACTCATGATTAATTAGTGACACTGTATTTTTTCCCTCAAAAAATTTTTTGAGAAATATTTTCGTACTTACGAGAAAAATGTGATTTTGCTATCTCTTTTAAAAGACCCCATATTCATTAAGTATGTATAGTCTAATTAGACTACAAAATGTTTTTTGAGCCATACTGCAATTCACCCACCATTCATCTACCAGTTTGTCATACTGTGGTGGCTTGCATGTTGTTGTGATGCTGGAATCTATGCCATCGATACTTTAAATACTAGCCAGGTCACTTAGGATGGACAGTTTTCAGCTGAGCTTCCAGAC